GTTCGTTCCGCACCTTTATGAGAGGAGGCGCCTGCCCTACAGCCAAGTATATTCCCCTTCTTCGACCTCACTTGTGGAATCCTTTCTTTGAAGGATTTCCAGTAAAGTTGAGGCGGATATATGCCATGACTGAAGCTGTCCGTTTACACTTTCACAGCTTGTGAGATCCGCTTCTGATCGCAAGGCTCACCCTTAGAAAGTTGTGATGACCACTATGGAGCTTTTCAGAAAGAATAATCTGCCAGAAACTGCTGTTTGCCTAGCTTCCTCTTCCTAAAATTACATTGGGAGAACATTTCATTCACTCCCTGAATATGCTGTCCCTGGAGGATATTGTTCAGTAAATTGACGGCCTAATTTAAGTTCCGTTTGGATCAAATGCACAGACGACAATGTTGAATTGTCAGCGGTAAACGTATAAATATGTAGGACAAATACAGTACCTTGACCAGCTTTTTAGAATCTTCTTTGTCTGAGAGTTCAGAATCCGATCGAACGTCACCGGCTTCTCCTTGAGTAATCGTTTTCACAACGATCTTCATTATAATAATCGTCCAGAATATGTGCAGAATAAGCAAACAGAAGAGCATGAGAATGATAGCGCGAGGTGCGTATGGGACCTAAAAGTGCAGTTACGAAAACGAATGTTGATTTGGTTCGCTCATAAGTCGCATGGGACTGACCTGAGTCACATCCAACAAATCATAATCGGGTTGGATCAAAGCGGCCGCTTCGAACAATGCAGATCGAACGAGAACAAGCGGATAGTAACCAAGGCGGGTAACAATCCACCTGAAAAAATATCGAAACAACTCATCTAATTTTCATTGAAACAGTAGCACATCCAAATATCGCTGGCTGAGTAGGAGTGTCGAGCATAATGTGGCTGCTGCCGTGCTACTTCTATCTAGTGGTGTGGCCAGGGTGAATAACGGTCGAGGAATTCCTCGACCATGGCTCTCTACTGTGCGAGAGTAGTGCCGAGAGTGAACATACGCGCGGAGAGCACAGACGGCTCGCGCATGGCGAGTGTGAATGTCCGCGCGGGAGAGCGTAACTGATCAGGCGAAAATCCTCGACGTGCCGTTGAGGAATCCTCGACCGATATTCACCCTGGGTATGGCCGCCACGTGGTGACATATCTACTCACAAGGCGAGATATGGGCTGTACTGTATGACATGGAACAATATAAAATTTTGAAAGGGCCAAAGAACAGAACTTTTAGACCGATCATATTATGGGAAAAAAGGAAAATAAATGAATAAAAACGTCAATAGAAAAGAGCAGATACAGCTGAAGCTTACCCGGGTCAAAACCAACAAGCAGGCATTCGTCCCCCAAGATAAAAAGTTTTGAGATTCCTGTCGTACCGTGTAGTGTTACCGAACTCTAGTAGAATGTCAGCAAGATCATGTGAGATCAGTACGAGTGTTCCAGCTCTGAAATTCCAAACAGAAAGATTCTCAGGATGTCTTTACAACAAACAGAAATATCGTGGTACATTAGAAAATATCGTGGTACTCTAAAGGTAGTGTTCGGGGGGTTCAAATAGTTATTGTTTCTCTCGAAAATGAAAACGTTCTGTATAGGGCAACAACGATTGAATGGGAAGTAATTAGCGAAAAACTGTGAAATAGCAACCTCTTATCACAGTAGGAACTAGTGGAACTCCGAGAACAACCCAAGGAACCTGATTGTTTTTATCACCTCTCGCATTCTGATATCACTAGTGTAGTGCAGGAGGCCTATCGCGCGGCAGAGTATTATCGAGGGGCTTTCGTCTTCACAAAACTTTCACCCCAAACGGGACTGATTGTTAATCACCTAATTGATAAGTGCTACTTTGGCCACAATTCTCCCCGGACAAGGCAAACTCGTTCATTCCATAACTACGTGAAACATCCCCTTTTGTTGCAGTCACGACTAAGCTTCAAGAGAAAGGAAAGGAGAAAGGCTAGGGTGTGTGAGCGGTTTTTCATGTCCTCCAAGTCCACCCCCCCCGTCCTCGGCTTAGTCCTTGAATGCCTCCGTATTTTGCGATAGCGTCTACTAAATTGGTATTTCACATTTTCTGATAGGTCCATTTGATATGACCCATTGTGCAATGTATAAGAGCACGGTGTAATCATATAGAAATTTGTGACCGTTATTGCAGAGGGGGGGGGCGGCGGGGCGGGGGGGGGAGGGGGGGATTCTTTGAGTCTCTCAAAATTTGGCGAGCTCTAGCCGAAGACTTCGGTGGTTTGCTCTTGCTGTGACCTAATTCACCATTCCTAGACTTATGCAAAACCTGACAGGTCGCAGATCGAAAGACTACAAAAGTTTCTTTCATTCAGCTAATCACCCATTTTTTGGACCTCGCAGATGGTTATTTGCAGCTATTTCCGCTCAACGTAATTATCACACCATTCACATAGGTATAAATGGCACTAATCTCGACTGAATTTTCGCAGTTCCGTCAGACGGTCCACTGAGGGATCATTAAAGGCCTAGCATGATAGTTTGGTCTCAATTCTCACCCCGAGTGCCGTCGCCTTCCCTGTTGTTTTTAACTATCTTTTCTTATTTTAATAGTCTGCGGTTTGACAAATTTAAGGCGTTCACTTATTACGGAACGCGATTTTTTTATCAGACTTTATCATTTTTGTATATTTATCAAAGAAAAAACCGAGTATCAGTTAATGACGGGAGTACAAGCAGAATAAGAAATTAGGTAGCTGACTAACGAAATTGATGGTGAAACTGGTGGACAGAAGGCCAATGGTGACGATATGATGGATAATCATTTCCCAAAAATCGGATCGTTTCACATCGAAGAATGCACCAAACAGTAACGAGTAGTAGAATGATGTTTCAATCATGTAGTACCACCTAAAAATGGCAGTACATCAGTTCATACGATTCTCTCAACAACTTTACACTGCGTAGTGTTTCTGTCTTTGGCTTATTAGACGGAATCACGAATATCGTGGGTTTATTTAAAGGTAGGTCCCGGGACCCTGCTAAACGGGCAGAGACTGCGGGTAGCGGCTATCAAAAAACATCGATGTAGAAGTGGTTGCAGTAGCAGCGTGCCTCAAATGACACCATTGTCGTTATCGTCACGTTTTCAATTTGGCTGAAGGGTGGCACCTCGCTACGCAGATCGGAAGGCCGCACCTTTAGTTTAATATTTTTCGTTAGTATAATACGTTGTGCCAATTCACACTCGGTAGGACATTTACGCTCTAATCTCACAGCTGAAATGCGTATCGGTGGGAATAAGTACGCGGAAATGGAATCCAGATTGATAACTCCGAATTGTCGCAGGTAGTTAGTTAGTGTTTTTTAGTATGAGCTGATCAAGAAATACATTTCGGACCGCTCTGCATCATTCACGCATTGTGCGGAACATGAGTTCACTCCCTTCGTTAGTTATTCAATACACTCCGTACTAATGGTTAGCATTAGCTCCCACTATTGGACGATCGATAATTACATCCGCGCGGCGATTTTACTTGCTGCTGGAGATAGCGTTTTCCGGGCTTATGGTGTGGAATGAATTGGCTTTGAGCCTATTGGGGATTGCGCACAATTTAAATAAAAAAAAATGGACACGCTGCATGAAGTAAAATGCATAGTCAATGCGTTTCGGCGTAGTTGATCCGCACGTTCATGGCTGTAAACACATAAGTGCTCGATTACAATAGCACACGACTAACCATACGCTGTCTTCGACGGGATGGAACGGATAGCCAATCCAACACTGCTTCACGTCCCATAGCCATGACTTGTTCCACAGCACAACACATCCATAGACAAAGGCGAAAGTATAGTAGCTGAAGCGCCAGAAACACTCCAGTATCCGTTTCGGTCGTGTCTGTCGAGCGAATCCTCCGGTTAGATGATCGAATATCTGGAAGGAAAACATAAGGGGGAACCAAGAGAGCCGTATACTCGCGTAGAGTGTGAAAGCGCAGTGCGATCCGTTTTGACGACACCTTTTCAGAATGGACTCATTCCCTACTAGCAGTAATCTGACCTTAAATGCAGTTCAGGGTCGGTGAGCGAGAACCGACCCTGCATTACATTTGTGTCCATCTTGGGAGAAGGTTGAAAAATTACCGATTCCAAGGTACAATGAATCATTCCACATTGTTATACAGGTAGCTAGTCAAGCACCTCATTACTAGCAGATTAGTAACGCTACTATGCAGTAATTTGCCCCAAGTGAGCGAAAAACATCGTCGTTTCTGGAGAGCCGACACGCCTGACAGATCTCATGCACGATTCTATGCTAATGAGTCCCTCAAAGGGAGGACTTCAATCCTCAAAAAGCTTATAAATCAGCTCGATATGCATGGAAGGGAGCTACTAGGAAAACATTTCAGGGCTGGGAGTAGTTGAAGCACTGTTGAGAATTTTTTCCCATGAGGGCAGAGACATTCTTTTCCCATACATTTTCTTGCTTATCGTTAGAGGAAGCGACTACGATAGTGGGAGCGCATTGGACAAACATAGTATGCGCCACATGAATTAGTAGCTCGGCTGTCAGGGAAGGGGAGGAGCGCTTCCAGGACGAAAAGTTTGCTGGTTGCTGAGCAGACTTGAAAAACGCCACGCCCCAAAAGCGCTCCACCCACTAGTTTAGTTGGTGATTTGGACGAGCTGTGTTGCCAGCAGCGGCACAACTGGAGCAACTCGACTGGAGCATGGTTTGGCATGGTGCCATCAAACGCGTTGCGGCAAACTCGTCCGCTATCTTAGCCGTTGCCCGTCCATGAGCGAAAATCAAGGGAAAAACATGAAGGATTAGTTTCACGTTTTTTTTTGACGGATCTCTCCTTTTTTCACTATTGGCATGCACACCATTGAGCACCCCATCCAAACCGCTGGAGAACCTATCGTAATCGCTGTCTTCGAATT